TGATGCAGTTGGAGAGGCTATCGGCGGTGGTGCGCTCGGCTCTGTTGTGGGCGGTCTGGCTGGCGCTGTCGGCGCAGGTCTCCTTGGTGGTGCGTTCGGCAGCGACAAGAAGGCTGACAAGAAGAAGTACGAGAGCAGTGGCTACAACGACGACGACTCATACACTTCTCGCGTTACAGAGACCGCTCACCGACCTTCAAGTGGCTACGGAAGTGGCAGACAAGAAGAGCGATATGGTCAAGCTTCGTATGAGCAGACTTCCTATCAGAGTGGTGGTCACGAGGAGAGATATCAGCGCTTCGAACAAGACGGTCGCCAAGGCAACACCGGGTACGGCTTCGAGCAGCGCACGGAGACCCGTCCAACACAGGGAGGAGGTTACGAACAGCGCAGCGAGCGTCGCTACGAGCAGCCAGGTGGTGGTTATCAGCAAGAAATTCAGCACCAGCGTGTGACCAGTGATGGACGCTCCTATCAGCACCAGGAAACACGTTACGGCAACAAGAAGGATGACAGCGAAGATGACGACGACAGCAACGACGACGATGATTGGGAGAAGAAGCAGAAGAAGCAGCGCAAGAAGGAGGAGAAGCGTCGCAAGAAGGAGCGCGAGCAATCTGGCTACGGCGGCAGGGATCGCAGCGGTAGCCGTGAGCGCAAGCGTTCTGGATCTCGGCGTCGATCTGGTAGCCGCAAGCGCGACTCCAACGAGTACAAGCGTAGCAGTGGCCAGCAACAGTATGGCGGAGGCTACCAGCGCGAGGAGTACTCGCAGCAGTCGTCCGGTAGCTACTCGAGGCAAGAGTACAGCTCGGAAAGCCGATACGAGTCACAGTCGAGCTATGGAGGCGGTAACGAGTATGGCCGCCAACAGCAACAGAGCTATGGTGGAGATTCATATGGTGGCGGCGGCTATGGCCAGAGACAGGAATATGGTGGAGGGCGTGATGAGTCCGACGATGAATACGGCCGACGTGGCGAGGGCGGTTATGGAGGAGGAGGAGGCTATGGTGGAAGCTCCGGCTATGGTGATGAGGAGAGGCGTCGTTGGTAGGCTAAAGGCCACGAGGCGGTCTGCTCAGCTGAGCTGAGCTGAAAAAGCAGCTGATGGAGTCGAAGAGCAGTGCGCTGTCACGCTGATGACTGTGTGAGTGCGGCGTCGCCCAAAAAGTATACAGCACAGAAATCAACGTGCTTCAAAGAAAGGCCGACGGCCCATGCTTTTGTCATGCCGTGTCGTCGTCGTGATTTCGGGACCGATGTCTTGTCAAAAGTCTGGCGGGAACCGATCAATGCGCGCTCGTGCGTTCGCAGAAGGCGTCTCACACGTGGCATTGACTGGCAAGAATTCTCCATCCAGCTGACCGCCTTGCACTCGTGCAGCATACCAAAACGACCAGAAGCAAGTTTTAGCCGAAGCCCTCTCTTCAGAGTTTCCAGTGTCGGGCCCGCTGGACAGCCCCAGAAGCAATTCGGCCTCTCCGACCAAAGGTCTGGATCTCTTCTGCGTCGTGGCAGCCACAATCTCGAATCATGATGGCGCGAAGTTTGACTTTCTGCTGGTCTGCAGTGTCGCGTGTCCAAGCAGACGCCATACCAATCATAAGGTTTGATGCCGCGCGCTAGCACGTGCAAGCTCCACTTCATCTCCGCTAGTCATACTTCGCTTTCTGTGGCTTGATCGGAGTGGGAACTTTCGAGACCGAATCGAGTTGGACTGGCCTCAGCTTTCATGGATGGCCAGCTGAATGCGGCATGGTGGCGCTGGCAAGGCTGCTGAGTCTTCTTGTCACTGGATAGGGTGCCGTGTCATGGCCTGACGACCTGGACGACGAGGCCGAGAGGCGCACACTCTGGACCGCAGCACTGACACGGAGGGAGCGATAAGCTGGAGAGAGGCGGGTGGGAGATGAGCCATGAAAGTGGTATATGAATGGGATGCTCTGCCCGGTCTGTCCATGATCATCATCAGCATCTGAAACAGAAATACGAAGCTCCAAGAACCGTCTTCTGCCACACCCAAGAACTTCAACTCAGGCAACCATGCAGTACCTCAAGTCCATCAGCCTTCTGGCATGCCTCTTGGTCGCTAGCGACGCAGCCGTCGTCAAGCGTTCCAACTGCCGAGCCGGTCAAACAACCATCGACGGCCAACTCTTCACAACTCAATGTGATGTCGACCGAGCAGGTTAGTCCTGACACGCTTCCCCAAAAATTCCATCAAAAGCAACAACTAATCCCTCTCCAAAGGCAACAACTTCGGCAACCCAGTCCGCACCACCCCATCAGGCTGCGCCGCCGCCTGCGCCGCAGACTCCACCTGCGTGACATCCCAATACAACACCGGCAACGGCTTCTGCTACCTCAAGAACTCCCCCAACCAACTCTCCCTCGTCCCGGGCACCAACACCTACGACCGCGGCAGCGGTTGTACTTCCAACATCAACGTCAGTGGCTGCACTGTTCAATGCGATACTGACTCACCTGGAAATGACATTTCTGGAACTTATACGGGTAGCTATGCGCAGTGTGCGGTGCTTTGTAAGGAGAATGCGCAGTGTGTGACGGCGCAGTATAATGCTGGCAATGGGTATTGTTATCAGAAGAGTAGGGTTAATGGGGATGGGTTCCGACCTGTTGCGGGTACGCATAGTTTGGTTTGCCCGCACTAGAGGTCTTGCTGGTGCGATGCGATGGAATTGATGGTGCTATGGTAGATGGGTAAAGGGTTTATGATATATGTATGTGACGAATGATCAAATTTCATGTTGAATACCACGACCAGGAATTGATGAGAGCATATGATACTGTGTCACTCAGAGTAACGATGTCTTTTTTCATCAACTTCCGTCTTCCATTTTCTCCTTGCAAGATATCTCTGAATGGCCTGCCACCTTCTCATGTGCACAATTCGTGCTGCCGTCCGAGCCCTCGCTCTAATCCTGGACGCCGTGGCGCAGTGCTGTACGGCGATAGTGTTCTTTCGCATCTACCAAGGTGCCACACCGCTATCTCCAATCACGCAAAAGGCTGGAAGCATCCACTGGTGCCTATCAAACTTCACGACGCAGTAAATGGAAACTGAAGTAATGGGCAATACTGGTGAAGAGGCATTCAATTTCATTGTTTTCGACCTCAGGCAACCGTTCTATCTACGCCTCACCGGTCAAACCCGTTGATGCCTCAGCGCGGTGCAGAGCGTACGACAGCCCCTAATCATCTCCGCCTGCAGTCGAAATGATCGATTTGTTGAAGCTTACTCATGTGGTGTCAGCGCCTCTGTCATCGGGAACTTGTTGCCAGATCTCAGATGGAAAAGAAAACCCTAGTGCTTGCTTACCCCGAGATAAAGTACCCGATGTGGGATACAAGATCGCTACGACCACTCGATGGTACAACTTCAAGCCACGCGAACAGGCTTTTCTCCGAATAAAACATCTTCCATGAGTGGTCCCCAGGTCTCACAGCAGTGTAGTACCAGTACCTTTTGATGCGCTTCTCTCCTTCGATCTTGTGGTAGACGTACCAGACATTCGGGCGGACCAGTTTGTAATAGACTGGGATGGTAGGTGCGCGCTTTGACCCGCCAAGAGGGGCAGCTTTCATGCTAATCTGGAATTGAGTGATGTGATGAAGGTCTTCGGATCGATGACGCTGGAGACGGCGCTGGCAATCGTTCCTCAACTGAGGATAGGGGAGGCTGAATGTCGACTGAGACCAGAACTCGCGATAGCTTGACTTGTAGATTCCAGTAGCCTCGTCGTGGATCTGACGACAGGCGAGGATAAGAGCATTGCTCGGAGGTTCGGCGTTCAGGAGATCGATTTCATTGTCTTCGGAGGTATTGTTGGTGTAGACGAGTTCGTAGATGTTGTTTCGCATTTCCGCGGGGAGCATGTCGAGGAAGAGGCATTCCGACTCGGCTCTGCTGGTAGGGATTAGCAATGTGCTCGGCCGAACATGTGTGCCAGATTCTTACTTTGCCATCTTTGCCACTGTTGCGCCGTTCGAGCGTGCGCCCAGTTGTTTGTTGATGGAGTCGGAACAAAGCTGAAAAGGCAAGGAAGCTGAGTTTGTTTGGAAGGTCAGTGCAGCTTTCACATGAAACTGCACGTGCTTCTTCAACCCTTGTTGCTGAGTCATTGCTGGAAGTGAGTGACGACTGGGACCCACAGCCTTTTGCAAACAAACAGAGCGACACGACTTCGCTGCGCGCCTTTCCGTGCCGCCCACACTTGCATCTCGACCTGGTCGGTTGTCGAGCTTCATGATAGAAGAGGCTGGGACTAGCTCAAATACTCCGCACCATCTCGAGTTTTGTGAGTGTGATTCGAGGAGTTTCTGGGCAGCGCGCAAGTCACTAACACTGATCAGATCTGCCGAAATGGCTGCTTCGAAGAAAATCGTTGACCCCAGCGTCCCTGTTGAAGGATGCTACATCTTCGACAAGCTGCCAGGCGAAATGCGCAACAAGATCTGGGAGCTGTCATTCACGAACAACGACCCAGTTGCTGATCTCCGAAACCCATCTCCACCGACCAAGTCCCTGCTTTTGACTTGCAAGAAGATCAACTCCGAAGCTCGCGGTCTGTACCAGGATGCCTACCGCGCCTACTGGACATCTTCGCCTTTCCAGGTTACCATCTCTAGGTCCAGACGCGGGTTCTTCGACTGGTCACCTGCATTCGAAAATGAACCAGAGCACAAGAATATGGTCACCCCATGGTCACAAAATCACAGATCTGACCATCATTCTGGTCGGCAAGGAGAATGAGAAGGCCTTCAAATGTATCAAGGAGTCGATATTCTTGGATGCGAGCGGCGGCTGTGAGGCAACGATCAAGCTCAAGTCGAACGTCCAAGCCCACTGGCGGGGCCACACTCAATGTGGCATCCACGGTCCACGCGGACTACCTAGTGAGGTCGCCGACGCTTGGCTTCGCAAGATGCACGACAAGGGCGAGACAGAAGCTAGTGTCTACGCGAATGATGCGCCCCACTCGATGGCCCGCCACGTCGCAAGCATGTTGCGAGGCGTATCTGTGCTTGAGGCTCTGAGCGCATTCCACAGAATTGAGCGGGAGGCATTCCAGCGTGCGGGATGAGTCACTCGATACGAGTGAGCGACCCTCCTCCGGAGACTGACGAACAACAGCTGTCGCCTGACACGAAGGAAGAGATACAGCAGCGGGGGCTAAGCAACGCCTTTGGTGTAATTGCAATTCTCGAGTGCCACGCGAGGTGGATGTGAAGGCAGCGCATGATGCAGCACGAAGATGCTGAAAGAAGATCCAGCTACTTTCATAATCAACGCTAAAGTCATTTTGTTGAAGCCTCAATTTCGCCTGTCGTTGCTCTGTGAAAGGCTCCTGCCGAAAAATAATAGAGCGCTCAACCACAAAAGGATTTTACAATTCGTCCGGTCTGCCCAAAGACTGTTCAAAGTCAGGACGATGTGATCCCAAAGTCTAGTTCAGAAGCCCCATAGGCCGTCAGAAGCTCGATCCAGTGACTGCGTGGGTACGTGAGTCCCGGCCGAAATCTCTCGGGGTACGTTGTTCTATTGAATGCGTGCATTCCGAGGTAGGTGCTCAGATCATCATCGTCCGCTTCTTGATAGACGAAAAAGAACACTTCACCACTCGCTTCGTACCGGGCGGTTTGATCGTGCGAATTGGCTCCGACCACATGGACCACTCTCCAGTCGCCAGCATTGTTGAGCATTCGCAAAGTGACAGTATATAGACCGAACCTGCACCATAGATAGAGATTCTGGATTTCATCGAGCTCTCGGGTCCTAAGCTTGTGGCATTGATACCTTTGTCGACGCATCAGCGGTCCTCCGGGTAGGAAGGATGAATGTGTAATGATGAAGGAGTTGTTCTTGAAGTACTCGCGGTGCGCTCGCACATGCAGTGACCGAGCATCATGATAGAGATCTCGGCAGGTCAGTAGCAGACTTTTGGACTGAGTGGGAGGAACAGCGTCTGCGAGCCTGATGGGATGAGGGTTGAAGCAGTCGGCGTAGATAAGTTCGTAGATATTGATCCTTAGTTCAGCAGGCAGGCGCCAGAAATGACATTTATCGTTTATTCTAGGTGTCGCTATTGGCACAGACAGCATGTTGATGTGTGTCCATCCCAATGATGTCGTGAGAGGAGATGTGGGAAAGTCGACTTGGAAGTGAAGTGCGGGTGCGCGACGGGGATTGGCGGCAAGCGGCAAGCGGGAACAGGCGAGCGCCACTGCCACGCGAGCTTGTTACGGACGCGGCCGGCGTCAGTGATGCAACTCTCGTGGACAAACAGCTGGCAACAACGACGCCGTACAGAACTGGGGCGAGCGATGCGGTAGCCATAATCACCGCCTCTGACAGGCGAAACCGACATCTGGTCCAAAAGCACTCACCCACCATCGCCCATCATGCGGCGACCGGTTTTTCCATTCTTGCTCTGTAAGCCACGTCCCACTCCAGGCATCGGAACACAGCTCACGCTACTCCAGTATTATGCATTTGCTTGGCCTTCACCTTCGCGCGAGACGTAATAGCAGAGACCGACGATATCGACGATCAACTGCGGCCACTGGAACGCGCTCGTCCGCTTACCAACTACATCGAGGCATTGAACGATGAACAGGACATTGTGGTGGAACAGCAACATGAATGGAGGAGCGATGTGCTGGAAGCTGTGTCTCTCCTACGCAAAGTCAAGCCGCCGACCGGCTCCAAGCTGCAGCAATTCGTTAGCAAGCCAAAAGGCTTCTTCGGATATGCCGTCTACTATGCAAAAGAGGCCTTTGTCCTGCTGTTCATGAATGCGCCGAAGCACACGAATCTTGTTACAACAGCCACTCGAGAGCAACCTGTTAAACTCGCCCAGCCACTTTCGAGAGCTATCAAGATGCTCGAGGATGCAGCCAAAGACAACGACCCCGACGCCATTTACCTGCTTGCCGAACTCAACTTTCATGGAAACCACTCACACCCGATCAACTACGACATCGCTTTCACGAGATACAAACAACTTGCAGACATGAATGGAAATAGCACTGCGCAATACATGGTTGGATTCATCTATGCAACGGGTTTGGCACCATCTGTACCCATGGATCAGGCAAAGAGCATGCTATACCACACGTTCGCTGCAGAACAGGGAAACACGCGGTCGCAGATGACACTTGGATACAGACACATGTCGGGGATAGCAACACCGAAGAATTGCGAAGAGGCAGTACTTTGGTACAAGAAGGTGGCAGACAAAGCTGTTCGCTACTATCGTTCCGGACCACCTGGAGGACATTCCCTGGTCAGAGATGCTTGGAGAATAGCAGACGAGGAAGGCGGTGTCTACGGCGAAGGAGCGAGCGTGGCATCCGCCGGACAAAACGCAAAGCAGGGTGGCCCGACCAGTGATGCCTACGCAGATGTGGAAGACGTGCTGGAGTACCTACACCTTCAATCCTCGAAGGGTGACCTTAAGGCGACATTCGGACTAGCCAGGCTTCACTACGATGGTACACGAGGCTTGAAGCGTGATCCGAAAGTGGCAAAGCAGTACTTCATGGACGTCGCTCGCGAATACTGGACCGCAAACAACAAGGTCAAGAAAGATGTGTCTCACAGCACAGAACGACTCGCCAGTAAGGCTGCCGGTTATTTGGGGCGAATGTTCCTCCGCGGCGAAGGCACTAAGCAGGACTTTGCAAAGGCCAAGGTGTGGTTCAATCGCGGGCTGGCTAATGGCGATGCACTTTGCCAGTACATGCTAGGAGTGATGTACTTTGAAGGCTACGGCGTGGAGCAGAATGTTGTGAAAGCCGCAGACCTCTTCTCCGCGGCTGCGGACCAGGACCTCGCGGTTGCTCAAACGCATCTTGGGACCATCTTCCTTGACCAAGGCGATACCACAGTAGCAGCGAAATACTTCGAGTTGGCTGCAAGAAATAGTCACATCGAGGCATTCTACTATCTCGCCGAGATGAATCACAAGGGCATTGGCCGTGATAAGTCTTGCGGTAGCGCGGCCGTGTACTACAAGATTGTTGTCGAGAAGGCTGAGGCCATCTGGAGTGGTCTCAGCGAAGCAGTTGAAGCATATGATGACGGCGAGCTGGGCAAAGCCTTCATGCCATATCTTATGGCTGCAGAGCAGGGCAGCGAGAATTCTCAAGCTAACGTAGCATGGTTACTTGATCAATCTCAGACGAAGCCGCGATGGAGCCCACTCAACTGGCTCTCGTCGTCAGCCAGTAACACCAAGCAAGCGATTGGAGACGCTGCACTTGCTCTCATTCACTGGACTAGATCTGCGAAGCAGCAGAACATCGATGCTCTTGTCAAGATGGGCGACTATTATCTAGCGGGCCTCGGAACTGCTGTCTCAGCTGAGAAAGCCGCACAGTGCTATCAAGCTGCGGCGGAAACGCTTCAGTCCGCGCAAGCCATGTGGAACCTGGGTTGGATGCACGAGAACGGCATCGGCATTGAGCAAGACTTCCACCTCGCCAAGCGTTTCTATGATCAAGCACTGGAAACAAATCGCGAAGCATACCTACCTGTCAAACTCAGCCTGTTCAAACTTCGATGGCGTTCATGGTGGAACGGCATAACAGGCGGCACTGTGCACGGCATTGAAGATGAACAGCAGACGAAGAAGAGGAGAAGTTTCGCGGAATGGCTCAACGACTTTCTTGAGGCAGATGCTGCTTACTACCAAGATTACGAAGGTTACGAGGCAGATGACTGGGACGGCACAGAGCCGATGCCAGGTGGAGACGAGTACTGGGATGCAGATGGCGAGCTCGACGACGATATTCTAGAGACGCTCCTTATTGGTGGCCTTCTCGCGGCTCTGGCAGGACTCTTCTGGTATCGGCAACAGCGTGCTCGAGAAATCGAACGCCGGCGAAGAGAAGCTGCAGCAGCAGCGCAACAGCCACCTCAGCAAGATGCTCAGCATGAAGATCAGCAGCAACAGCCTGAAGATAGAGGGTTGTTTCCACCGCCTGGAGATCCGAATTGGAATAATTGGGTTGCGGGTGGGATAGGTCATTAGCTTTTATACTGAAATACGAAGTAGCGATTGTACAGTGATACGTTTGATGATCCGGTCGCCTTCTTGGCGTGCGCACGTGCTTTTTCATGGTGAACCACGACGAGTGAATTGAGGCGCGATGTTGAGGCGCGATCGCGCTTCAAAAACACCTGCATCTTCGACGTCGGACTTGGCGGATAACCTCCCTGCACCTGACAACACTCCTGCCCGCATTCCCTACTTTCGAACGCAAATTCAACGTCAACTCTCAGTACCAGTACCATTCGACAGACGACGATCCCAACAATGGCCGCTCCGCTTGATGACTCGACCGTGAAGAGCGCGCGTGCAGATAGTGCCTCGTCGATTCGCGTTAAATCGGAGTCTTCCGCCGACAAGCCAGCTCCAATCGATGCAAGCGTCGCTGACCAGCTTGTTGCTGGCGACCGAGTTCCTTCAGACACGGACTCGAGTTATCGAGTCCGGCCATCTCCTGCCACGAGCATGCCAGCAACTTCTCATAACGACTGCTCCTTTCTAGATAAGCTTCCACCCGAATTGAGGAACCAGATCTACGAGTTGGCGTTTCCCAGCTTGAAGACGCAAAGCCACCGAGCAAGTCACTGCTTTGGACTTGTCGACAAATTATGTCCGAAGCCATACAGCTCTATAAGGAAGCTTTTGCTAAGTATTGGACCGACACCCCATTCTGCATCGAACTTATTGAACCATATCTGGTATGCCCGCTCAAGCGAGACCTGGCACAGGGGGACAATCCGAGACTCCAACACAAGGACGTTGACCGCATCCGCCACATCCATGTCATTGGCTGTTTGGAGTATGATGGCTTTGGCAACGTTTACACCTACTACCATGATGAAGGCATTTGGCACAGCGTGAACGACCGACCGGGAGAGAATGTGGAGTATCTGTGGGTGCAACCTGACTCGTCCTCGCCCTGGGGTCAGCGGTTGGATAGTGCCGCACGACATGAAGATGCTGTGGTCGCAGCCTGGGGTAGGACGGAGAGGGTGCCATTTTACCAAGAACTACAGTGGATGATGACCGACCCCTCCAATGGTGGTATTTCCTATTAATGCTAAAATGCTGAGCGTGGACATGAGCGACGGGCCTGATGCTCGATTGCCAGTGCCGCGCTTTGGTATTTCACATGCAGGTGAGGCCAGGCGCATCTTCACTTTACAGGCTTGCGGTTCAGCTGGCATTGTTTGCTGCCTGCCTGGCTCAACGAATTCGCTGCAATTCTCAAGATTTCGATGCCACATTCTCAGCTTCCACAAACAACCTCAACTTCGCCACTCATCGCCAATTCGCAGATCACCACGATGACCGTATCACCTGACAACAGCCCCGCAAACAACACAGGCGGTTGCCGTCTGGCGCCAGAGTCATTGAACAGCACGATGTCTTGCGATCCTGCGACGCCGTCCATCGAGACGCTGTCTGAGATTGGACATTCCGCTGCCGCGGACGGGCCTCCACTCACAGACATGTTGCGCTGCTCCAAGCCGACTGCTGTCGCCGAAGATTCCGCTGACGACGGAACAACAGTCGCAAGGGATCTTGTCACTGGTACAGACGATGCCACCGAAGAGAACGCAAACATCGACAGCCGGTTCCCTGAATCGCGCGCCCTATCAGCATCGCAGAACGATTGCCTCGTTCTGAATAAGCTCCCAGCGGAGTTGCGAAACGAGATCTATGAGCTGGCTTTCACAGTCGACGACGACGAAGTTGAGATCGACCTGTCCGATTTCGGACCACCAAGAAGCCCACCCCTCTTGACCAAGGGTGAAGTGGAATTATCCAAAGCTCGCCCACCAAACAATGCGCTATTGTCTACATGTCACCAGATCCAGTCCGAAGCCACACAGCTGTACAAGAGAGCGTCTCACAAGTACTGGACAGATACTCATTTCTTCATCGACGACCTCAAGCCGAATGGCTTTGATGCAGCACCCGAGATCGAGTCACTAAAGCAGGACCTTTGGGGAGGGCAAAATCCAAGACTTAAGTCGGAGAACATCGATCGCATTCGCCACGTTGGGATCTTTCACCGTAGTGTCCGCGACAGGAATAGCTTGGAGGTCTTCACCTACATGTCCGAGTCAGGCATCTGGCTCCGGGAGTGGTTCCACGGTGTACGAGCGGAGCCTCTGCTGTCGACATATGTTGTGCTCAGAGTGTCCGACTCGCGTATGCGTCCTCTCCAACGCGACTGGGAAATAGAGGATCAGAAGCTATATGCTGAGAAGATTGCCCAGGAATCGAACTACAAGCACGCATTTCATGTGGAACTAGGCTCAAAGCTGGTTCACAATTATAATTATTACTGAAGCGATGAGTGGCGTATACAAAGCTGAACGTAGCACGGATGGGAAGGGTGGGAGACCTTGAAGCAACGTGAGGTACTGCAGTCAATGATCACGTGGAAAGGAATGGCTAGACAAAACGTTGAGCTGTAAATGGTAGAAGCAAAGCATAGAAGGAAGCCGAAAACACGGTTTCATTGTGGGGCACGGAGAAGCATCTTTGCAGTTTTGAGTCCGAAACTTCTATCACTTGCATTCTTGTCCGTTGCGACGCTGGAGTAGAACTGCAGTGAATGGCACCCGCCTTCACTTACCAATTTCCGCTTTGGGTCAGGCGTCGGCTGACTGTCCTTGTGAACTGTGAACTTTAGGAAGTTGCCCACTCGACGACCTTTTCTCCTTCAACATCGACCTTTCAGCGGGTCTGCGTATACTCACAAAAGTCACATCACCACGATGGCTTCACCAGTAAACCGCACGGCTGTTACGGCAGCGGACAACACATACTTGCCAGCACACCCGCCGCTCCACTCGAGCGCCTTCGCCACAACCGAGCTCTGCGTCGACAAAATAGCCGCCTCAGCTCAGAGGTTCGACGACAACGTCCTTCCGCGCATTTCCTCGCCCTCTACCATTCGAACTACATCAATCGCCGACATGCCAGCTCGAGTCGACTTCCCGCCCACCATCGAGCCAAACAACAGTCAAGACACCTCTGGCCTCGAAGTCTCCGGTCAAGCCGATCTTCAATCTGACATCGAACCAAACATGACTTCAGCTATGGCTAAAGCGGCGTCTTCGGCCTCTGATTCGACCGCCATGGGATCACAGAATATGTCAGCAGCTTCTCGAGCCGACTGTCTCTTTCTAGACAAGTTACCAGCCGAATTGCGGAATTTGATCTACGAGATGGCTTTCACAAGTGACGACAACTCAGCTGATGTTGAGCTCTGCGATGCGCAGCCGCCGAACAACGCACTCCTCTCGACTTGTCAACAAATCAGATCTGAAGCCAGTCAACTGTATGATGCGTTACTTCACGAGTATTGGACGCAAACTCACTTCATCGTCAAGGCACACGAAGCTTGGGCCGACAGACGACTCAGTGTGGAGCTACTCACAGGCGGGCTTTGCTCTGGACGGAGTCAAAAGTTCTTCAATCGCAGGCTCGACCTGATTCGCCATATCCAAGTGATATCAGCTGGCATTGACGAAGATACTTGGGACAAATACGTTTACATGCATGATATTGGCATTTGGCATTGGTACATGCAAGTAGGCGACGATTGGCTACATAGGGGTTATGTCTGGTTCCAGCCAGAGGAGACCAGTAACCGTTTAGAATTTGCGCCGCGATGGTGCTACTCCATGGAGGAGTCAGGGGCGCTAGCTTGGGCACAGGTCAAGGTGAACAGATGTCCGTTTCACGAAGAGCTGCAGGCAGCAGCGAGAGACTTGTGATGGCATGCGCGTTGATTGGGCATTTTGAACGCTACGTGTCGATGGAAAGTGCATCAGCGATGAACGCCCACTCCGGAGATATCACGGCCGGAAGAACAAATTGGGTGGTAGAGGCACAAGAGCATCATCACGACCGTGCTCCGTGACCTCTACCGGGTCCTACCCCAGCGTTGCCTGCACAAAAGGCTTGACATAATTATCGACGACGGTCGAGTTCCTCCAACCAGACCAGTTTTTGTTGAGCAGTCCTACAGAAGATTAGCATCAGCGTACTCCACTCAAAGCTTTCAAAACAATTTCCACTCACCCCACGAATCCTCATAATCCTGAGTGCCACTTCGAATGTAATAACTTCCACTCAGCGTCCACATCATCCACCCCGCTGGACCACCAGGCTGATTCGTCACAACACTTTTGATGCACTGGGCATATGCACCTCCCGAGCTCCCATCAGTCTGATCGAACCCGAACTCACTCATCACCACTGGGCCGTGGTTTGGACAACTTGTGTCAGCCGTATTCATCGCACAATAAGCATTGTTATACAGCCCAGGTTGAATCTGATTGCAGTTGGTAGCACTGTTCTGATAATTGTGGATCTCATAGACGATCTTGTTCTTGAAGGCGTACGACTCAGGCTTGAACGTCTCGCTGTTCCAAGTTTGCCGTTGGATGAAGTACGTGTCGTCGGTATCGTAGCCCTGTCCGGAGAAGAAGATCAGTGGAGCAGAATTGTTCGAGTGGATTCCATTCGCAGCGGGAATGACGTTCTCGATCCAGGAGTTCCAGTTGTACGGTCGAGCAGTTGAACTACTCGGCTGGCGAAGCTCATTGCGAAGAGATATCGATGTAAAGCCACTCCAGGATTTCGCGTGATTGGCCTACGACGAATTAGCATCGATCAATTGTCACTAACTTATGTTTCTTTGCCAATGTTGTCCTACCATGTATCCCAGACCCCTCTCCCACTTCGCAACATCGAAGTACTGGTCTCCGAACCATCCATTTCCATCACTTCCACAACACCACTCAGCCTTACTAACATGATTGTCCAGATGTACCCAAATCTTTTGCTTTGCCAACTCCGCCGCCACAGCATCAAACACTTGCAATCTCGTCGTATCTTTCGTGAATCCTGGGTTGTTCTTCAAGACCTGCGCTAGAACTTTTCTTCCATTGGTATCTCCCAACGCGTTGATCAAAGTATTCTGCAAGCTCTGGTTTGGTGAATTGGAGAAGATGTCATCGATCATCTCGATGGCATATGTCAAGCGAACGACGTTCATGTTCAATGACTTGATGAATGAGACAATGTTGGCGATGGAGTTGTATTGGAGACCTTCGGGCAGCATTGTGTCTGCTGCACCTGGCCAATTGACACCTGCGAAGCGGATCTTGGTGCCCGAGGCGGAGAGAATGTCACGACCAGAGACGGTGAACGGAGTGTCGGGCCATGCTGCTGCTCTGTGGTTGATCGTCGAAGACGGAAGGGCGAGAGTAGATGGCAAAAAAGAAGCAAGCAGTGCCTGCAGCCAGAGGGTGAGTTTCATTGTCGTTAATAGTCTGTTTGATCCCTGGAGACTCTGTAATGGAGTGTGATCTTTCACGAGCAGAGGAGGGACGCCATGAGGCTGATATATTCGACAAGACGCACTCGCCTCAGGCGTTGTACCAAGCGGGAAGTGGACACTCTTGTGCTCACAACAATTGCAAGAGCTCTGCACGCTCTCGTCGCACCTTCTGGAACAAGCATAGACACAAGCACCATTTCTCCGCAACCCCAGATCTTCTCCACAAACCGTGTCGGCACACAGAGAACTGAGGGATTGAGCTGTGCTCGTTCATTGGCGGACATCTCGCAAGACTTCGTCGGAGCCCAAGCGAAGCACTATGGAAAGAACGGCTAAGCTTCACAAGCTTTACGTATCGCTTGTGCAGAAAGGTGTCGCGTGAGGTCTGCCCTATCCAAATGAGGCATTTTGGCTGATGCTAGCGCTCATCGTGCCTACAGCCTTTGCTCCGAATCGGTCCGAGCGCGGTGTGAGTCGCACTGAACGGCATTGTCTCGTCTCGCGCAGCAGAAATCGAACACTTATTATTATGTTGTTCTTTCCGAGGAAGACCGAGACCCGCAAAAAAATGACAACAAATTCAAGGGCTATCTAACGGCACTCCTCGTCCTCCGCCTCTCTCCGTCCAATTCCCCACAATACAGACATCGTCATCCCACCACACCCTCTCACTTATAAGGGCCACAATTCTTATGAGGCACACAATCCGAAACAGTAACAAACTCCGAGCCCGCCGCCTTACACTGAGTCTTACAATAATTCACAAGCTGATTATAGCCCCCATTGATACAGCTCGTATCGATACAAGTCGCCGGATGTTTTCCTCCAATCTGGAATAGCACGGATTTCTTGCCCTCGAGAGTGAATTCGAGGTTGGCTGCGGTGGTGCAACCGTCCATGAGACGTTGATTGTTTTTGTGAGTAGCTGTGAATCGATACTGGCAGATCCAGGCGTGAGAGAGACTAGTTGGGAATGCATGGTTAGTGAGAAGGTTGTAGGAGTACAATGTGGACGGGGTTTATTACCCTGTCATGGAGACTATTGCGATGACGGAGCTGCGCATCTTGAGACTGATACTGATGTCGAGACCACGGTTGTTATGAGAAGGTGATTTGCTGTGAAGATGAGGTTGCGAGTTATTGCTGATAGATATTTAGAGAGGCAAGACGACTCTGCTTTTATTGGAGACCACACCGGATACTCTTTTAGGAAAGTAAGCCATTCTGACGATAGGTTTTTCTCCCATGCGGAGCTATTCGCACAACCACCCGTGTTCGCCCTTCGATGCAACAAGACTCCTTTTAGCAAAGTAAGCCACTCCGGGGCGTAGGCTTTGCTCCCATGCAAGGCTACTCGCGCGACTAACCTTGTTTACCCTTCAATGCAACAAACCTCTCGATGTAAGCTAGCAACTGCATATACAAGAAACGCTTAGCATGGTCTAGATCGATCTCGGTCTCAACAATATACTTGCAACTTATGCAGGATGGCCTCGTACGGCTCGCAATTCTCATAGAATTCAACAGTCCAAGGCATGTCTCATTAGCTGTCGACAATCGCACGCAGCTCAGAATGAAAACGGCTTCGATGCCGTCGTTACTTATGGGTCAGACAATGCGAGCAAAGGCTCTCAGGGACGCGGGTTTAAAATACTGTGATTGGCGGATTTACGGCTAGGGAGGATTGAGAAAGTCAACTGCAGCTGTAACTTACCAGAACGCTGGAGTCACCATCTTCTCTGTCGCGCGCCTACGTTTCTCTCGCCCATTTGTCTTCGGAAAGACATAAGCTATCGTGTTCAAGGGCCTAAGGCTTACCCTCTCGGGTGTCGTATCTCGTCGTTCCGCTCGTAGGCTTACAGAGCTCGTTGGTCGAATTCGTATCCGGCTAAACTGCTTGCACAAGGCCCTACTCGTTGCTGAGCCTATGTCGGTATGTTATGTACACGCAAGTGAGAACCTTTAGCATCTCCGTGTTGCACTCTCCAGAACAAGTCATAATTGCGGGGCCGTACAGCTTGGCAAATTCCTGGGTGGTCTAACGTGTTTAATAAGCATGTGAATCAGATAGGCATGTACATTAACTTTACGAGGTAGATAACTTTAATTCTTAATATCTTATACTATAGGTATTAGAACTACCTTAAAGATAGATTAATTAAATACTTAGAAGTTACTCTATCTAATAGATAACCTCTTAAGTTATATTCTTAGATACTATACTTACTATAGGTTAGTTTAGCTCTTAGCTATCTCTTAATCTAACTAACTAATTCTATTACTATTTAAGCCTATAACTATACTATATCTCTAGTAGCTAATTTATTAGTATTAAGGCTAAGTATTAGCTTAATTTTCTTCCTTAGTACTCTATAAAGCTATAATTCTTTAATTATAGTCTTTATATTATTATATTTAGCCTAGAGTAATATTATAGTAGCCTATAACCTTTTAAACTCTCTTAATAACCTATCTACTACCTTAAGGATTAAGATTAGTAAGCTATTCTAGTAGTTAATAACTCTATTCTTAATTTTACTTATATACTTCTTAATCTACTTTAGATTCTAAAGAGTATTCTATATATCTAATAAATAAGGTAGTAGTAGTAGAGTTAGTATCGGTTTAGCTATAGTAGCTACCTCGTATAAACTAGCTTAAGCTCTAAACTACTAGAATATAGACGTTCCGTTCCGGTAGTAGTATATAGAGCTAGCTCGTTCGCTACCTTCTATAGAAAAACATAAATCTTTATATACTACCTTTTATTACCTAACTAAATACTCTCTATAGAGGAGCCTACCTATA